GCGAATTTCTTTTAAAATAAATGTAATATATAGGGTACACGTCTATGTTTATCCAGATAACAAAAAAGAGTTTAAAAATCGAATAAAAATTACTTACATATATAATGAAGTAAACTTACATGCTAGAGAAAGAAACATCACAAAAATCAGTCAATATTAAAAAAAAAAAGTTATGTTTTTCTTTTCTTTTTGAAGAATATTTGTTTGAAGAGTCAATTTATATAAATGAACATAAAACAAATAATAAATTTTAACTATACAATTTCTATCGTTAATTTAAATTTAGCACCTTCTAGAAATTGAAGGGTATAAGCTGAAACCCCTTCAATTAGCTGCAGTCAAACCAAGGGTATAATATTTTTTTTTCGTTGAAGAATATTAGTTTTGAATCATTAAATTACGTGAAAGGTTTTTTTGTTTCTCGAATTCAACAAGAAGGATATTGGTTTCTAATTGATAGTTTCTATAGCTATTCAAATGTAACAAAAAGTATATTTTTAAAAAAAAAATGGTATGACGTGAATATTTTCTTTAAATTAAATTATTTCTAAAAAACTCTTTACTTTGTTCTACTTCAAAGATAAGATATTTTTGAGTTTAGTAGAGAATCTTTAAATTTATTATGATAGAAGTCATATTGTGGATAAATCAAGAAAGCGAAATCTTATAGAATATTTACATAAATATCCAGCCAGATTTATTGTTTACTTTTTATAGCTAATGTAAATAGATGTTATACGGACAACACATGATTATACACATATTATATATGGATTATATATAAACTACATATCCTTTAATTTTTTTAATTTAAGTGGTTGGGTGAGCACCTATTTAGGTTGATTAGATAAAGCCAAAAGAAAAATATGGAAGAATTTCAACCAAATACTAAAAATACAAATAAAGTTCTTATGTAGACAATTCTATTAAAGCTCATCCTTTTATAGCGAAATAAATTATTTTTTTGCAACAAAAGAAATAATGATATAAAAAATAAGATAAAAGAAAATAAATATAGAAAATAATGTATGAAAATCTAAAAACCAAAAATGAGAGATGACAACGAATTTCTTATTATGTTTCGTCTTTGTTGCGTATGAAAAATTTGGAAGCTGATCTCATCGATTTTAAATGTTATTTTCAACTCAAATACATAGATTATAAGATAAGGATATCTAAGGATATTTTTTTTCATTTACATTGTGTGTCGTTTTTAAAAAATTACTATTACTAACAAACTGAAATAATATTCGAATTTAAATTTAAATGCAATTTGAGTAGTTTGCATTGAGGTTAAGCCAAGTATGGTGTCGGAAAAAAAAAATTACTTGGCAATTTTAAGACAATATATGCAATATTATATAATAACAATCAACTAATTTAACATTTAATGATTCAAAGAATTATTTTTTTGTATATATATGGTATTCAAAATTCAAATCTATGGCTAGAGATATTGATAAATTTTTAGACTGCCGATTAAAGAATCATTTAAATTTTTAGATAGCCGATTAAAGTGAATTTTAATTTAAGGATATATCTTCACTTGCATCATTATAAAGATAATCATTATTGAAATATGTATAAAGTTTTAGAAATTGAAATTTCAAAATAGAAATATTTTATGAGAGATAACATCATACCAAATAAGAGTTTAAGTCATAGTAAAAAGAGTCACGTCGTAACGAAAAATCGTTCATATTGTGTCATCCTTTGTGCTTTGCCATAAATACGAGTTATTATTTCGCTTTGTGGCTATTTTTAGGTTCCAATAACACAAATAAGAATAGTGCAAAAATAAAATTATCACTATGAGATTTGAGAAAATGTTAGTCTTCTCTCATGTAGTATTTTTTAATTAATATCTAACGATTATCTATAATTATCTAGAAGGTTTAAATTTAAGGTTATTTATATATAATTCAAACAACTCAGATATTTAACATGCTTAATGTCAAATATCAAAATGGAGTCATACCGAAAAAAAACCACTGGCTAAAGAATTTTTTAAATTTTTAGATAGCCGACTAAAATGAGTTTTGAACTAAGGATAATATTTTCACCTACATTATTACAAAAATAATTATTATTGAAAAATAAAGTTTTAGAAACTTAAATTTTATAATTGAAATATTTTTTAAAAGATATCAACACACCAAATAAGAGTTCAAGTAGTAGTAAAAGAGTCAAGTTGTATCCAAAGAGTCATTCATAGTCTCAACCTTTTGTTTTGCCATAAATATGACTTATTGTTTTGCTTCTTGACTATTTTAAGGATCCAATGACACAAACGAGAATGGAACAGAAAAAAATAGAATTATAATTAGGAGATTTCAGAAATGATTAATCTTTTTCATGCGGTGTTTTTTAATTAATATTCAATGATTATTTATATCTATCGAGAATTTTTAAATTTTAAAATTATTTACATATAATCTAAATAACTTAAATATTTAATATGGTTAGTGTCCGCGCATCCACGCGGGTGCTAATACTAATTACAATGATAATCATATAATAATTAGTCATAGCTAACTGATGCAACCTTATATAAATATATATGTTTGCTTTCATTAGTTTGGGACAAAAAGAGACGAGTAAGATATTTTTTCTAGGTCCCTTAATTTAATTTAATTTTTATTTACCTTTATTGATTGTTTCTTGGAAAGGAAGGTTTTCCAGGGTGTTGATGCATCAACACGCATTTTACATGCTTAAACATAGTACCTCAAGTTAGAATATTGAAAACCTTCACTGCCTAAAAAAATATACTCTATATGTACTCTTTTTTCTTATCTTATAAGATAGTAGTACTTTACTTGAGCGGTTACACAATTTTTCTTTAATTACAATTTCTTAAACATGCTCTAGTTTTACTAAATATAAGAATTCGTTGCTGCACTTTAATTTTTGTTTGAATTCGTAAAAAAGAATTATCATGAAGTCGACATTTTTCTGGGATCGGGAGAGTGACACATTATTCTGATATTGATCACCAAACAGCAGAAGATTATTCCACTATATGATTGACCACTTTGTACTGGATTGTAGGGTTGAGTCTGGGCATTTGTGACAGTGTAACTGGCAGTAGCTTCAGCCGAAAAGCAAAAAGAAAAAAAGAAAAGGAAATATTTACCACTAGTAGTCGAGTACAACTAAAAACTTATGGTCCCAACCCCCTATACTTTTGTCTGCTACTACTAATTATTAGGGAAGAAAAAGATAATAGAAGCACTGAAATCCATTAGAGATAAAAAGTGCATTTGTAGTGATGAGAGCATTGTAATCAGTTTCGTGATCAGTTAAAAATGGGAAACTAACTGTTAAAAACGAGGACCAACCTTCCTTCCTCTTCTTTGATCCAATGTGGATTAAATATTTACAACATTCCTTCTTTTTTAATTAATCTCTATTTTAAAAATCTGTATGCATCAGATCCAAAGCACATGGAAGTCAGCTGACCCCCACTCCTCCACGGCACGTGCTCATCTCCTCCTACTTCTATACATCGATGTAGCAAAATAAAAATATACTTTAAATATGTTTAGAGCAAGATTTTGAGCTCAACTTATTGTATCGTAAAAGGAATTTTCATTTACGTCCAATTCCTTTTTTCTTATTTTTTACATAGATAACAGGAAAATCGATAATTCATCAGATCACGGGAATACAAATTTTTTATATTACTATTTATATTGTGGAATATTTGCTGGCAACTACTCTAAATAGTCCAAGAACAACTCTTTTCTAATGTACTTTTTCTCTTTTCGTCGCTCTCTTCTAGTGTATTTGACTTACATATTTTAAAAGGTACAAATTCATATAAAATGCAGTTTTAGAACTCTTTTTTGATACTCGCATGTGATTGGTGGACTTCTCTAGCTTGACACAAGGGTCCCATGAAAAAGGGACATACATTTGCTTTGTACTTCTTCTCACATTTTTCTTCCTTTTCCTTTTTGGTTTATTTTGTAAAAGAATTTAAAAAAAAAAAGAAAAGAATAAAGTATCAAAAGAAAACTTTATGCCAAGAATCATACAGATCAGCAAGCGAAACGGCGCCCAAGTTCTATGCACCTTATTTGCAACTGGCTTTCACCTTTCTCCATTCTTGGCAAATTTGACTATCTTTCTCTCATTTGTTTGTACTACCAACAGTTTATCATTTTATCACCCCTCCAATATGTTCAATACTACAACAGTTGACTATGTCCTTTTAACTGTCTTATCCAACTAGGAGTACTATTCTTGCAAAAACAAAGCAAAACAATCTGATCGATTATTGAACTCAAAAAGAAGAAAAGAAACAGAAAATTAATTAAAAGGCATAATATTGATGAAACAATATTATCCCCACAAACCAGGCCGGTGCAATTTACCAAGACTAGCAAATTAAGCAAACCAGATATATCCATATTCCTTCTGGCCGGTTGGGAAATCACATTTAATTCTTTCCATCAAATAGCATGGCCATGATCTTCCTAAAAGCTAAATGACAAAATCTTTAATTAATCCTCTCGATCTCAAGTCCTTTCACATGCCCGACGAAAAAGAAAAAAAAGAATAGTTGAATGGGCACTAACCAAATAGAATTATAGAATCATCTCGTGATATTCCAAGCAGAAAAAACAGCTTTCAACATTTACTCACTTCGTTACCCTCTCCCCATAAATAAGCCAAAATACACCCAACACAAAATAAGCGTCTCGACATCTATATTTAATTTATAAAAACAAAGTGGATACTACAAGCTTATAACTTATAGAACAATTTCAACACAAAAAATGAAGAAGACAAATTTATGCTAATTAGTTGTATTTCAAATAAAAATTCCAGATCCATGTCCAATTTCCCTTGCCCAACACAGATAATCACTGGTTTGCCCAGTCTGTTACAGTGTACTTTTACCATCCAAAAACAGAATCAAACAGCATATGCAATTTTAATGCAGATAGTTCCTACTCATGGGGAAGGTTGCAGATTGCAGAAAGAAGGTTCAGTTATGGCACTACTAAAATCAAGGGAGCTTCACATAAATAGCTTCTTTACACTGATATGGAAAGGCAATTGGCTGTACACCGATAAAGTTAAACTAAGCTGAAACAGTAAATAGTAAATGCTGATCTAAAACTAGAAATGGAAAGAAATTTAAAGGTCCAAAGTATTGGATTCCTAATTTTTTGAAACTCGCCGTGTAACTTTCATGAACAATTGTCATCTCCTTTTCTTCATTGATTAATAATTCATTCTTCAAGGCTTCAAAATAACCCACTGGTAACGTCCCTTTAGTGGCACGTCCTTCGCGATATCGTAATTGTACCTGCAAAACCACCATTACCAGGAAATCATTACTAACATATTATCTCCTTTCTTTTCTAAACCTTTTTTGGTCGCACTAAAATGAGCTGGTGGGGTGTACGTTTCTTATCATGCGCACCCTGCAGCTTTTAGCACACACTTACTTTTCTGCGAATCTTTTTTGCTCGCGCTTTTCCGCTACTGAAAAAAACTCTTCGATCTCCACTTCTGATGGAACCTTCGCCGCAGACGGCGGTTTCCGGTGAGCACTGACGGCTGATGAGGATGATTTCTTCGTTGTCGTGGATAATGACTCCATTTCTTCCGAGTCTCCGCAATGCTCAGTTGGTGGATTCGGCTGATCAATTGGCTTGAAATTTACACTGCTTCAAAAGAAAAAATTGACGAACCTACGTAAATAAACTAAGATAAAATGGAAACGCTTTTCTGTACAGCTAAATACACGTAAAACAAGCAAGTAGTAGTGGAGAAAATTTTGTTACGGTTTCCAGTTGGAAAATGAAGAGACAGTACTCACAGCCAAAGAAAAGAGAATTTGCCAACTAAAATTATGGAAGGAGAAAAATAAGTACTGGAACGTAATGTTACCTGTAGCCGCCGTTAAAAGAAGCTGAATTGTCAGTTTCGAATCCTTCGGCCTGCAACATTTCAAAATTTAAAACCAAAATTTTTGAATTTACTCAAGCAGTTATGGCATATGAGAAACGACGGTTTAAATAAACAATAAATTGGAAGTAAATGCGTTTTAGCATTTAACTCGCCTTCAGATCTAACGATTTCAAATTACTCTTCACAACTTCACCAGACTCATAACAAGTACTCGAGCACTGCGAATTCGTCGGAATATGAACGGACGTTACAGATGTAGCCGGCGAAGCTGAATTCTCACTAAAATCAACGTTAGAAGCAGCATCAAATTTTCTTCTCTTACTTGAGCTCAAAGAACTGGAAATAACCTCCACGTCTTCTCTTGTTCTCGAACCTCCATGTCCAATTTCCATAACCTTCATCTCTCTGATTTTCTCGCATTTCCTTAGAAAATCACCCATTTCCTCAAGTATTTTACATGAATATGATTATGAATATGTGGAGTATATAAATATGCATTTACTTTGAGCTAGGAATGAAAAGTGACTCGAAAGAGCTTTCTCTTTCTGTCCCTCTCAGCGCAGTGACAGCTGAAATTAGTTAGAGACCAGAGGAGGGGCAAAATGGGAATTTTAAGAGACTGTGGATTTGATCGGAGGGTGGAGATTAAACGAGACGGTTACGGGAGAGAAACATGTGGTCCTAGCTCCGTTAACGGTGACAGCAAGCACATGGCAATGCCGTTAAGAAGATCTGTCCGTTTCGTGTGAGGAATGATTACCGATGGATATTCGAATCAGTTAGTGACACGTAAGGGGGTTCACGTTAGGGTGAATTGACTGGCTGATTCCGGTTGCGTTAACCGGGAATCAAAATGGGGAAACCGAGTCGGGTGGAAAGTTGGTTACTTTTGTTTGGTAAAAAATAGCGTAATACAAGTTGCAGAACCAAACCGTAGTACAGAATTTCATGCAGTTCGTTTCCATATTGCCTTTCAGGTAAAAAGTTGGCAGGGCTATTTCATCTTTTTTATTTTATTTTGTTTTAAATTTAATTTTAGTTTTTGAAATAATAATTTTCTTTATTTTCAACTTCTACTTACCGAGTTTTATGAGGAGTTGAATGTGAAGTACTATTTGGGATATGAATGAGGACTTAACTTTCGTTGAAGTACTAGTCTTCTTTAAAGTACCTATTGTAGTGTTTTTGAAGGTTTTTTTCTCAATATAATTATATTAAGTAAATTGTCAACTTTTGATTCCTAATTTATCTTTATTATATATGGTTCGTGGTCCAAGAACACATGACTTCACGGCTTTTCAGAGGGGAATTTTCGAACTTCACACACAAACTCTTCCCCTGGCATGAGACGAATTCAACTTTTGGATCTTCTTCTACAAATGTGTGAAGTTTCAAATTTGTCTTTTTCTATATCTAGAGTGGAATCGGAATAAAAATATTCGGCTAAGTTGATATGATCATAATCAGAGGCGGAGTTAGGTTTTTAATTTTATGGGTCATGAATTTTAGAAGGATGGCTTCACGGAATTCATCAAAAATAGCCTCTCTACCTCCATAAGGTAGTAAGATTTGTGTACATCATACCCTCTCCAGACCCCACATATGGAATCACAACGGATATGTTATTATTTTTGTCGTTGTAATCATGGTCATTTTTATCTTCACCTACTTGTAATAATAAGACCAAGGGAAAAAAAAGCGCACTAATTCTTAAGCTGATATATAGATGATCTGAAGCGGTGGCGAAGATAGGAATTTCTCCAAGGGTGTTCAAATTTAAAAAAAAAATGAAAAAAATATACGAAAGGTGTTCAATATGTGTTGTATAACTCTAAAACGTAAATTTTACCTATGTACACAGTGTAATTTTTCGACCAAGGTGGCTTCGCCACTGATCTCAAAGTCAGCTGTCGGTAACACTCGCGGTACATGTATACATACCAGTACATAGTGTGAAAATTTTACGCTCTCAGACTATCTTTAACTTATCTAATTTTTATACTCCAATTGTTAAGATGATCATTCACTTCTTGAAACACTTATCATATTAGACCAAAAAATGTTACACCTAGATTAACTTAAGTTCAAAAGGATAATCAGAAACGTCCAATATCTCTGTTGTAATTCTCATAATTAAAACAACATGAATGCAAATGAATGAGGACAATTAATAAGTATATTTAGCATTTATAAGCAATAAGTATAAACCCGTTACAAGTTACAACTATTAAGTTACGTCTTTATGCAACAGCGACTGCCCATTTAAAAACTTTCCAGCTTTATATTAATTTCTTTAAGCGATTAAGCAAGAATAACTATTAGAATTGGACCTCAATAACTAAATATAATATCTGCCAATTAAGGAGGGTGTGGTGGGGGTTCCTTGTTCGTGGTGTTTGCATGAGTCATTAGGAAATATGTCCATTAACTTGTGCAAGTACATGATCATTTAATTTGTTGAATTTATGATTGGCAATAGGTTAGGTTATTAGATTGTCAAAAAGTCTCCAAATATTTGCCTTTTGAAAGGGACCTCCCCTTGCACGACTGGTCATTTTATCTTCAACTACTTATAGTACACTGACGAAATAAAAACAATAAAGAAGTATAATTTGCCAGGTTATTGAAGTTTTTAACGTAAGGGAAACAGGAAAATATAAATAATATAAAGCACCTTTCTTCCCTCAACTGATAATGGGTGCTTACCCAGATGAAGAAGAAAATGTAAGAAGAGAAAGAGGGAGAAGAGAGGTATATATGCGTGTAATGAGCAAATGTATTTCTTATTGCATTCCTTCCATATGTACAAAAGCTACAATATATAGGTATAATTTCACCCATAACTAACTGACACTAACGGTCTAATGTATCCGTTAGAGACCCCCTAACTAATTAACTATAAGAAACTACCAAATTGACCTTCTTTTAACTAACTATGTAACACATTTCTCTACTCTCCCTCTCAAGCTAGGTACTGAAATATATTAAGACCGCCTAGCTTGGAAGAGAAGTACTCATGCTGAACTTTGTTGAGTCCCTTAGTCAAGAGATCCGCTGGTTGTTGTAGTAGGGATGTAGATTGTTTCGACAAGACCTTGTATGATTTTTTCTCTAATGAAATGACAACCGATCTCGATATATTTTGTCCTTTCGTGATAAACAGGGGTTTGTTGCAATTTTCATAGCGGCTTTACTATCACAGAATATATCCACATATAACTTGATATCGACTACAACATCTTTCAGAAATTCCACTAGCCAGATAAGTTCTGCCACAGTAGCTTCAAGACTTCTGTACTCGGCTTCTGCTGAGCTTCTCGAAACAGTGGTTTGCTTTTTTGATTTTCATGATACTAACGAGTCTCCAAGCTTGATTAGATAGCCTGAGACAGATTTTCTTGAGTGTGGCAGGCAGCCCAATCTGCATCACAATATGCTGAAATTATACTATTGCATGTGATGGAGAGTAGTATCCCTTGTGCAGGACTATTCTTGGTGTACTTTATAATTCTTAGAGCTACTTCCATGTGGGATTTTTTTTGGCTTTTGTAAGAATTGGCTCAGTGTTTGAATACCGAATGACTTGTATGGTCTTGTCATTGTTAAGAATAGGAGTTTACCTATCAGTCTTTGATAGGGAGTTGAGTTTGTCAGTTCTTCATCTAACAATGTTGTAGACTTGTAAATTTCATGTAAACAAATCCTTGGGGTAGATTCATGTAAATTGCATCAAACAAATCCCCTTGTAAAAAGGCATTATATACATCCATTTGATGTATATGCCCATGTCTTGAAGCAGCTAGAGCCAGTACAATCCTTACAGTCTTCATTTTAATGACTGGAGAGAAGGTTTCTTGATAGTCTATTCCTTCCTTTTGACTGAATCCCCTGGCCACTAACCTAGTTAAGAATCTTTTCACTTCACCTGAAGCTTTGTACTTGATCTTATAAATCAATTGCACCGAATTGGACTGTTGCCTTCAGGCAATGATATTATATCCCGCGTGTGGTTGTTTTGTAAGGCTTCAATTTCAGTCTTCATTGCATCAACCCACCTAGAATCTTTCACAGCTTCTGAGTGGGAGGTTGGTTCAGTAGTATTTGAAGGAGCTGTCAAAAAAGCTTGATATCTTGGTGTCAAATTTTCATAGGTCAGGAATTTAGACATGGCGTAAAGTTGATCTTGATGAACATTCAATGAAACAAAGTCCTTCATCCATATAGGTGGTTTATTCCCTCTACATGACTTTCTGATGTTTAGATGATCTAGAAGGATAATGGGAACAACCTGTGATTCTTGAATTACTAATGATTGTATGGTTGAAGTCTGTTGAGGAGGTGGCTGTGATGTTTCTGAATAAAGAGTTTCATTGTGTTGTGTTGGATCTTGTATGGACTCTGGTGGTGTGAAGTCTTGTATGAGATCCTCCTCTTCAGTTGTATGTGTTTGGCTTTCAGAACTTGTAGGATATGTGATTGAACTTTTAGTATTATATATGTTGTCTTCTAAGTTGGGATGAATGAATATAGACTGGTCGTTCCCTTGCTTGGTCTTGAAGGGAAATATATCTTCCCTAAACTGAACATCTCTGCTCAAAAAAAAGATTTTATCAATTAAATCATATAGTAATTATCCCTTTTGAGCTGCAGCATATCCCGTATGTACAGAAGGTCTGGATCTAGGCATTAGTTTGTCATGTTGTTGAATTATCTTCGCATAACCTAAACAACCTATAACCTTCAAATGTTGTAGTACTAGTTTTCTGCTATACAATCTTTCATAGGTACTTTTGTTATCAATGATTGAGCTAGGCAGTCTACTAATGAGATAAACAACAGTAAATACACAATATCCCCAGAACTTGATAGGTATTCCAATTTGAAATCTGACATCTCTAGTTAGTTCTAAGATATGTCTATGTTTTTTCTCAGCTACTCCATTTTTCTGAGGAGTATATGGACATGTCTTCTAATGAATTACTCCTAGACTATTGAACAAATTGCTACAGATTGAATTAACAAATCCATTCTCATTATCTGTTCTAATTTTTTTGACTGTTGTCTCAAACTGTGTTTTCACAAAGATAAGAAACTGTTGTATAACTACACAAACATCAGATATCATTTTTAGTAGAAATATCCATAAAGTCATCAACCATAGTTAAGAAATCTCTGTTGCCGTCCATAGTAGGCACTTTATAAGGCCCCCACAAATCCATATGAACTAACTCAAAACAGGTAGCGGTTCTAATACTACTGATAGGAAAAGGTTGCCTTGGTTGCTTTGCACAAGGGCATATACTACATGTGTCTATTCTAGCATATATAATTTGTGTCTTGACGGGTAGAATCTTCTTGAGAATAGTAGTAGACACATGTTCAAGCCTTCTATGCCAAATATCTATATAACTTGAACTAATTTCTTTATTTTCTTCCGTCTCCTTTGTGGCTAAACTAACTACATCACTTCCTGGTATTGTTTGTCTACTGAGAATGAAAAGTCTATTGTCTTCTCTACTAATCGCTTTCACCCTCCCACTGAAGAGTTTCTGAAACACACAAAAATCAGAAAA